ATTTATGATGTGCTCTTTTTTTCCTGCGTTTCAGAAATGGACTTTTTGTAGAACTTTCTAATTCAGAATTTCAGATTATTTTAGTCTTAATCACGTTATCATACTGTGATGTAAATACTCTGCTTCTACAGATGTCAAAATTGATGCACAGAGACAGGAAATAATTTGTCAGAGGTATGCAGCCAGTATGCAAGTCATGTATAAGTAGAACACAACATTCCTTCATTGGTTTATCTCGCACACCCCCCCATGAAGGGTGTGTTTTTTTCTATTTATTTTGTCTTTATCACTACTGATTATTGCTGCTCAGGGATAGTACCTGCTTTCTGTCTATACTGCAATTAGTTCTTTTCTCCATGTTGCAAATACATAGGCCAGACTAATCAAGACCTTACAGTAACCTGTTTGCTTGGACAAACTGGAATGAAAAGATAACTTTATATTAAATTGTTTTACTAGGCCTTTATTAGAAAAACTTAACCAATGCTCTCACTGCTTTATACATTGTTTTGACCATATTTTGAGGTGAGCTTGAGACCTTAAAGCTAGTATTTAAATAAGCTGCTTTATAGGTATGCTTCTGGGCTATTGGTTGTTTTTTTTTTCTCCAAAGAAACAATGAATTAAATTTTGTGAGCAGTCAGAAAGGTAGCAAAATACTTACACACCATGTTTTATTTGCCTTTCCTAGTTCTCACAAGTTCTGTCATTTTAGCCTACCTACAGCTAACCTGCCTCTCCTCAAGAAAGCCCTTAGCTAAGTACAGACTCAATTGTGTAGTTCTGGTTTTCTTAAGTATCTCTTTACCTTTCGGCAGGAACTAAAATGTTGAATCATGTCTTAAACATCTGTGAAAAAGATGGCACTTTTGACAACATCTATCTGTAAGTAAATGAGTTACACTCATCCATTTTTGGAGAGATGATAGAGGCGTATATGGGAGCAAAGGGAGGGAGATTCAAGAGCGTTTTTAGTATGGATTTCAGTGGGGTCATGGGACATCTTGTAAGTACTAGCAAGAAAGCTAGGGGTCATATTCCGGGCTGCTTGTCTGATGCTGAGAAAACCAAAAGCTTGCTTGCTTTAGAAGGGCTTCTGCAAATTTGCTGAATTTGAAAGTAGCTTAGTTACAAAATGATGTTCTATAGCAGAATTACACTGTATGACTAAAAAAAAATTGTGGGAAGAATTTTTTTGCCATACAGTGTAATCCTCAGAATGGAAAATACTGCAAGTCTAGCATGCAGTTTTGATACATTTGCTGTCTGTCTCTTATGACAGTACTGTGTAGGTTAGAACATCAAATCAGAGGTGCTTGCAAGCACTCTAGGTTCTCATTCAGTAGCAAGGCCCAGCTTCTTATTCCCATTCTTGCACTGTGCCAGGTCAGCTGTTTGTGCCACAACACAGTAAACTAGGTCAATGACCTGACCCAGCTGGGAAAGCTGTTTCTGGTTTTGTTTCTGGGTGATGTTTTTGGTTTTAGTATGTTTTCTGGGTTTTTTGTTTTGAGGTATTTTGGTGGTGTTTTGTTTTTTTTTTTCTTTAAATCAACTGCATGTCTACATAAGCACTTGGCATGATGCAGACATGAGAACAAGCACTAGGGTAGAAGACAGGGCTGCTTAAAAGAGCATCCTGCCGTCCTAATAGATGCCCATGGAAATAGAGCCTGAAATCCATAGATGCCAAACCTTTGCTTCCCCTTCGCTGCTGGCTGCACACTTCTGCTTCTTCCTGTGCATTGGTGTCTGTGTGAATACCAAGTGAGCTGATGCAGTTTTTGGCCAGATCGCTTCTCTGAGCCAGCTTCTTCCTTGTCCATCACTGCTTGCTTATACCAGTACAAGCACGGTGCACTGGCAGGGAGAGTCCCACAGCAGGTGCGGCTCGGATGGACTTATGCTGCCACAGAACTGCACCCTGAACTTTTGCCAGGACTGTTGAAAATGCTTAGCGAGGAGTGTTTCATACACTGATATCACTATAAATGGAGTGACTTTCTCCTCAAGCTTAGTCCACCTCTGCCAAGGAGATGCAAAGTCTTCCAAGACCTCTACTGTTGTAGCTTTGTGCCATCTCTGTAAGAAGAGCAGTTGTTTTAAAGAGGAGTTCAAGTAAAGCTGCTTTTGGCTTGTATTCCTGCTCTCCTGCCTCAGAAGAAGTAGTAATGAAGTCTCTCTCAGATGCCTGCTGGTTGGCACAGGCTTTCCTTTTTGCTTTTGCACTGTGTGCACAGTGAAGGAACTGCACACTGTTTTTAATGCAAAAACCAAATCCTTTGTAATCCTTCTTTCCACTTCCCAGAGTAGGTTTCTGGGATGACAATGAAGAGCCCATAAAGTTGGGCATAACACAGTTCTTTTAGTGGCCCATTGATTGTATTACTATGTCTGTTGCTTGTGCATCTTCTATCTGAACATATTATGCAGCTTAGCACCCAGTTTGATATCAGTGGTGAAAATTGTCATTATTATGAAGTTTCCTTTTAGCTATTTGGTGTTTATTGGGCTTAATAGTAAGATCTTCTTGTTTTGTTCCGCTGTTGCTTCCAGAGTTGCTTTGGTTCTGTGGTTATGCAGCATGTTGTCATGACAAAGTGATTCATGAGCTTGTGCAGTGTCCACTGAATTTTGGAAGTGTTTAATGAATGCCTTTTGCTGAGCCAAACGTCTTTTTTTGTTAGAACTTGTGCAAATAAATGTCCTAGTCGCTTAGAATGAAGAACTGATGGCTGTTTGTTTTGGAGGACTTGAAACTCTTGAAATATGCTAGCAAGGTCTGTAAAACTCTGGGTGAGATAGATAAAAGGGGGAAGGACTTCATAAGTCCATAGGGCTTCTTTGTGCTGCCATACCTTTTTGTGAGGAGAGAGGGGTAGTTAGAATTGAGCAAGGAGTTAAAAATCTTATTAAACGCTATTGCCAGTTTTGTGTTGCAGCATGTAGGGATCATCACTCAGACAGCTGTTTTGGTCATCTAAGAAGTGTCACTACAGGAAGTTAAAATTGGGTCTACAGTGAAACTTTGTTATATATTTCCACAAGATATCTGTCACTTCCAGATTAAGAAAAATTGAAATTACTGAGCTAGTAATGCTTCAGAGTCTCTCTGCTATTTGTGTTCCTTCAAAGAGCTTTACTGAGGGGAAACATTTACCACTTCTCAGAATGATTGCCACAGGCCATCCAGGAGCTGTGTGTCAGCTCAGGATTGATTTGGGAAGACCAAAATTTCCAGTTCTGAACTTACACCATCATTCCCGTCTCTGTCTAGATAGCTCCTTTTCTTATCTTGTCTTTGACTGTTCTGGGTGTGGAGGCAGAATACTGTACCACAGAAAGTTCTGATACCTGTCTCTATCCTCCTTTCTGTCCCAGGCATGTCCAGATCAGCAATGAGTCTGCAATTGACTTCTACAGAAAGTTTGGCTTTGAGATCATTGAGACGAAGAAAAACTACTACAAGAGGATAGAGCCCGCAGATGCTCATGTGCTGCAGAAAAACCTCAAAGCCCCTTGTCTTGGCCAGAACGCAGATGTGCAAAAGACCGACAACTGAACAAAACCCCAATGAACACTTTCTTGCACTTGCTTGTCGCCAAATAAGGAAAGAGAGGCCTCTTCATTTTTTCTTTTCTTTTTTTAAAATTTTTTTTATTTTTTACTGCACCCCTTCATCCTCTTAAATTTTTTTTCTTGACCTCTCTCCAACAAAATGTAATGCTTCTTCCAAGGATTGTCCAATCATGTTTGGGGTTTGGGTTTTTTTGTTGAGCTCTCCTTTCTGGTTTTGTTTTTTTTTTGTTGTTGTTGTTTGGGTTTTTGGTTTTGGGTTTTTTTTTTGGGGGTGGGAAAAGGTGTGCAGATCTCTTCAAGTTTAAGGTGTGGAGGGCTTGAGCAGGTTATCCTGAAGACAAGTTTCCTTCAGAATTATCTCTTTCAGTAAGCAGAATGTAAATCCAATGGGGGGAAAAAAGGAAAAGCAATATCTTGTCCTTTGACTCCTACATTATTGTGTTTTTTTATAACCTACAGGGTACTTTACTCCCCCCCAACCTTTGAATGTTACTTCAGTACTTCCCACTCTTCCTCTTAATTCCCCCCGCCTCAAAAAAGTATGTTTAGTTCTTCCCAATATTTTAGAGTATGGCTTTTTCCTCCATCTTTTGCTGAGAAGGGCGGGCTACTTTACCATGCCTTTTCACTCTGCCTGGGCTGATCTTTTTGAATGCTTTTTTTAAATACTCCTCACCCAAGCTGGTGCTACATTTCTTAACTGACTGAGAGGAGGGTTTAGAGTGGTCGTTGTTGTTTCTTTTTTTCATTTACCCAACTCCCAGCAGACTTCTGCCAGAGTAAGAGCTAGATCTGGTGTTGGCAAGAGTAACCTTGTAAAAATATGAATCCTGAGGCAAGACCCTTGCTTTTTAAAAAGGGTGAAATGCTGTAGGGCTCATTGAGAGTTAGTTTTATCTGTGTTGTTGGGATGGGAAAAGTGACTGTGACCACCTTGCCAGCTTTGATCACGTAAGGCAAGCACCCATCTCCAGATAAATTTGCTACAGCTACTAAATCTGTGGTGACAAATCTGAGATGAGGCAAGGGTTGAGGAAACCAGGCAGCAAGGCTGAGAAGGCAAACATGAATCGGACCCAAATCACATAGCTTTGCAGGGGTCTCCTGGATTTGCTTGGGATTGGCTTGGCTTGCTGTGTTTACGTGCTCCTTCGGGAGGAGGTGGTTAAGAACTGCACGGTTTGCTCCTTTGAAGATTCTTTTCCCCTTTCCCTGTTCAGTGGTAATAATGCAGTTCTCCTCCTCTCGTGAGAGGGTGTTCATGGAGCACTGGAGAAAGCGGCATATATTAGAGCATTTTATGGGTTTGGAAAATAGGCTGACTGGCTTCTTCCTAGTACTGTAACCTTAAAGCTACAGTAAACTCTAAGCTCTGCTTTGCATCCTTTCATGCTTTGTTTGCGTGAATATCAGTGCTCCTTTCTATGCACTGTTGCCAGCGATTTTATGTATGCCAATATAAATACCAACTTGAGCTTGGACTCTTCTCCAAGCACCTGGGAAAGTGCACTGAGCTGAGACAACACCAACCTGCCCTGTTCCCCAAGTAGATATTGAACTGCATTCCTTTCCTGTTTGTTTTTTAAAGTTTAAATCTGCATCTTGAATTCATCTGCTTTGAAATCCTCCAACCTATAGTGCGTGTTGCAGCATACATCTGATTAGTAGGTGCTGTCCAGTCATTCGAGGGTGACTTGGGAACCAAGGATTTCAAGATGGGAGTCAAGAGGCAAGAGATGGCACTCCTCATTGCACATTATGTGGTCTTCAATACCCGAGGGGTGACTATACAAGCTGCTCCAGAATTACTCGTTCTTTCCCAGAGGTGTGTAGTGTTTGTTGGAGTGCATCTTGACAGACCTATGCTGAAAAACGGCTACTCTATTTGCTGGGTTTGCACTAATTGAGTCTTGGGGATGGGCAGATCGCTAACAACAAAAGCCCCTCTGCATGGCCTGAGCACCTGTGTTTGCAACACTTGGTGGCAGACTCTGGCTAGAAAGATGCAAATGGTTTCCTTGGCCAGAGGCAGCCTAGTTTTGACAAAAGCTTATTTTTAGTACTGCTAGGACCTGCTCGCACTGGTTACGTTGGCAGTTCCAGCATCTTTCTAGAAGGGGATGTATTGAAGCACAATTAGCTTGTCATATGCCAACATAGTTACCCTGGCCATCTGTAGACCAAACCAAGAGAAGTATGTGGAGGGAGAGAGAGAGTATTGTATTTGAGGATGTTTGTGCAGCACAGCTGTAACTCAGACCATAGCTGCCTCTGGTGCCAAGCAAAGTGCTCTTCATTCTTCTAGAACTAAATGGTAAGTGTTTGGGTTGGGTAGATGGGTGTGGGGATATGAACTCTTAGGATTTGCTGTTATTGTAGGCTTCCACAAATTGGTGTGTTTCACAGACAGTTTTCCTTCAGGTTTAAAAGTATGAGTCTGATGTCTGAACTTACTTGGATTAATCTTTGTTTCTGTCTCTCTTTGCTTTGGGCTGCCATCATTCTATGAATGTATCCCTGAAAACAATTCCTAAAGCTCCTATTCCACAGCAAACCTGCCTCATTGTAACTTCTGATAAAATGTTTTGTAGGAGGTGAAAGAGAGAGTAACCACAAATGTAAGACTCCTTTTTCCCAGGCTATTAATCCTGGAAAACGGTTGTTGAATCTTGAATGCAAGGTTTAATCTAAATCTCATAGAAAGCTGTGTTCCCTGTACATGGATAAGGGCGAGTGAAGGTCAGTAGTTCTGAATGACAAACAGTTGTATTTTATTAGTATATCAGCAGTGTTGAGTGTGGGAGGAGAATGCTGTGTCTTAGTGCTGTTACCCAGAGACACTGAAATTGTGTGAAGTATGGGCTTACTGCAGAGAACTTCAGTTACTTTGTTTGTTGCTGCAGCAGGACCTCCTTTTAGCTTGAAAATAGCAGCTTATGAACAACTACATTTTTTAACAGTTGGGAGTTTGTAGTGGGAAAAAACCCACCAGCACTTCCTGTTCTGGATGAAGGTCTAGCAAGAAAAATGTATGCGACTAACAGCTTTAGAGTGTAAATGGTGTATATATGAGTTATTCCTGAATCTCTGCAACTGGTTTTGTCATACATCGGTTGAAGTATGAAGATATTACCTATAAAAAGACTTCTACTAGAGCAAACCGTGGTACAGGGGAAGAATCATCATCCAGGAGAGGTATCCCTCATTTTTGGGAGGGGGAAGGGAGAAGTTTTATTTTGTGTATACAGAAACTGGCTGAGTTTACATGATGCAGCTAATGGTTAAACCTGCCAACTAAATATGACATACTGTTACAATTGAAACAAACTGATGTGATATTTCATTAATTCTTGATGGTGCCCTGTGTCTAGTAAAAATTGATCACCCAAATTGTTTTCTTCTCCCCCATGTTGTAATCCAGGGTCAGCTGCTATGCACAATGTCTGTGTTTTGTAAAGTGTTTGCTGACTTGGATGTTTCTTTTGAATCTGCAACTGCTTCCTGATTAATTTGGCTAAGACCACCCCTGGTCTCTTGAGTTAAGATTTAGTCAAAGGTATGCTGTATGCAGTTTACAGATGCATTAAGTTGCAGGGGGAGCAAATTCTTTATAATAAGATGGTCCATTTTTAATCTATCTCATTGCCCTTGTACATCAGGAGCATGTTTTTGTTTTTCTCAAACTCTTTAGAAATACCGTTCAGAATAAACGTGCACTATTTGAGTTACGTCATTTACGACTTGTTGTGTGCATTTTTCTTTTTTCAGTCCAGCTGTTTCCCTCTGAAATCAGATACAGAATATTCCTCGGATGCTTCATAAACTGTGTAACTCAGAAGATTTCTAACATGAATTGTGAGCTGGGCTGCTGTGATGAATGCCATGGGTGTCTGACAGCTGAGGAGACTGGGGTCTGTCTGTCTGTTTTTCCCTGAAGTTATGAGCCTTGTCTCAGAAATCCTCTGCCTTGTAGGGTGGGGGGAGGAGAGGAACTGTCCTGGAAATATTTTTACATCAACTAGTGAGCAGTCTTGAAACAAACAGACCAGGCATCAAGATCTCTCTGTTTTGGGCTTTATAGATTAAATATTTTAAAGTATTCAAATTAACTGATAGTTACTGCAAAACTTGACCACAGTCTTTGAAAGACTATGGTCTGTACCTGTAAAAGTAACTGGTCTTAAGATGCAGCAAGTACTCTTCCTTACTGACCTTTCTCAGAAAGGTATTTAAGTATAAGTAAAACTCATCTCTCTCCTTAACTATCCCAGTCTCTTCTGTTAAAGCCATTTAACAAAAGTTAAATGGCTTTAACTGCTCCTCTCCTGCTTTGAAGTGCCATTTATGAAGTGATAAAGTTGCACTGTGGTACGTTTCTGGGGAAAAAGAAATGTTACCCCAAATATTCTATAGCATATTCTATAGCATATTCTATATTCTGTCCATATAAATACTCTGTCTGCTTATTTAAGTTCCTCTGGAAATGGCTTTATCAGTAGATGGAGTCACTGCATTCATTAGGATAGCATGCAAAAGCAAAGTTCAGACTCTGAAACTTGACTGTGGTCTTGAGCTGCTGCTACCAGCTGTCTTCCCTGACCTCTGCTGGAGGGCCTGGAAGGCACAGCTGGAGATAAACTGCTGCCAGGAGTGCAACCTTCATCACTCCGACCTCACCAGCAGCTGCAGAAGCTGGAACACTTTTGCTACAGCTGTTCTCCAAACCACTCAGCTTTTATTGATCTCTGTTGTGTTTCTTTCCTTCTCCCCTGTCATCCCAGTCACCCCTCTAACAGCCTGTACAGTTTTAAACAATTCAGTTACTCCTTTGCAGGGAAACTAGCGGATACCCCTGATTGTTTGTGTTGTCTTTTCCAAAAGCTTTGCTGGTTCTACAGGTGGTTCCATTCCCCTCACTGTATTCAAAATTCAGGTATTTACAGGGTCCTTGTAATAGGTATTGTGGTAGTATTATGGTGTTGTGGTAGTTATGTAAAGTTGTGGTAACTTTTAGTTACAACAGTTTGCTTTTTTTGTTACTGAGATGATTATTTAAAGA